GACATGTGACTATTTGAGTAGTTGATGGAGCTAGTAAGAAGTGTGTTGTTCGATGGTTTCTAAGATTCTTGGTAAAATAGGCAGTAGGTTTGAATTCAATAGGAATAGCGTTAATTTTGTCAGGTTCTTCTTCATAGATTGCTATGCCAAAGAATCTGGCATAGTGAGTATAGAAGTAATCAAGGTCTAAAGTATCTGAAGTTTGAGCTACAGGGGTAGGCATTATATTTCGTAGTACACAGATTGGTTGGATAGGAAGTATAAAATATTGGCTATATGTTTACTTAAGGATACAGGTTTCCTTTACTTAATAAAATTTTAAGATATTTAGCTAGAATGCTAAATTAGTATTGAACGAGGGTGGTATGTTATTTCTGGGGTTATTACTGCGGCTGCTGCGGCTTGTGTAACATTGTGTAACTAGATATTCCAAGGTAACACAAGTATGGCTGGTGTGGCTTATGGCTAGTGTGGCTGGTATAGTACAAAAATCAGTTATATGTTGTGTAAAATGTTGTGTAATAGTTTAGAATTTGTGTAAAATATAGGGTGTAGCGCCTTAGAGAAGTGTCAAGGTGTCATTCCCCAAGTGGCAGATTGACAGTTCGAATCTCACTAGTGATGTTTTGGAGTTAAATCTGTGTTCAGTAATTGTGGCTTCTGATCGGTTGAGCATAAAACCTGTAATCCTGGTTTCACCATCTTGAATAGGAGCTTGTGGGTGCAATGATGTACTGGTACTACGTCGCAAATCCAGGAAACCGGAAAAAACCTACAAGAACCTGTTTGGCAAGTCCCAAGTTAGAAGGTAATAAAAATCTGTCTATATAAGTATAGGCCAAAAAAGAAAGCTGGTACTACGATCGGAACGAACCTAATAAGAGCAGGTAGCTTCGGTTACTAAAATCTGGCAATAACTACATGCTTGGAACATGGAAAGCTGTTCGGTAGGCAGTTGGTACGAGAGTAAAGTAGCCTTTAGGCCGTTAAAATAAAAAGGGTCGGGCCTAGTATATCTGCAATATATAGTAAATCGGGTTAGTAATAGGAGGATCGTAAGTCAGAGAGTTTAAATAGGCAACTTTCGTAGTTGGGTTGTAGGTATGGCAGCTAGTGTAGAACCTTTGGGCAGACTACTTAAATTAGGCACTAAAAGTGCACGTGTGGCTAGTTGTATCCTCTCTCATGTAACAAATATTATGTTAACTCATAATAAAAAATCGGCCATAGTACCCGGCCTTTAAACAGGAAAAAAGAATTTGTGTAAAATAAAAAGAACCAATAATTTTTTGTAGAAAAATTACTATTGTTTAAGGAAAAATTAATTTACACAAAGGAAAATTAATTAAATCTAATTTTGGAAGTGATTTGAGGTCACATGGAAAACGAATTGAAGGAAAAAAGTGGGGGTAAAGGTAAGAAATTTTTGCAAGGAGTTGTAAAAGGAGCAAAAAGTATTTTTGTTGTAACTCAGTCAATATTAGGTCAAAAATCTTTATTTAGAGCTTATTTTAACCAGACAGATATGCTCTACAACTTTCTCTTAAAGACCCACGAGAGTTGTAAAGACAGTTTTAGAAAAATAAATAAAAGTTCTGTTTAAAAAACCAAACCTGTTTTTTAACGTTTTTACTACAAGTTTTCAATCTAAGAACTTAAAACTTGTAGGATATATATAAAACTATGTGAGGAACAATTTTTCTTAAGCAACAAATATCTGTTTCTTTAATAAATTATTGAGATATTAGCAAATTTATGATGCTCGAATTTTTATTTAAGTTTGTGTAAAAGATTTACAGAAAGAGTTTTTTACTATTTTTTTATAATAAATATAATCTAACCAGTTAATAACTGGTTAGAAATTTAATTATGTAACAAATAATTATAAAGATTAATATAATGATTGATGGTCTATCATCAACAGGAAAATCTACTATTGGCTAATTACTTGTATTAAATTTAAATTATTAGTTTATTGATAGTAGATTATTTTATTGGTATTTAGCGACAAAAACAGCAAGTCAAAATGAACAAGAATTATTATCTTTATTACAACAAGTAAAAAATTAAACATATTAATAAAACAGTATTTTTGAAAATAAATATATTGAAAATAGTTCAAAAGCTAGTTTAATTGCTAAAAACAACAATATACAAAAAGAAATTAATAATTTAATTCATAAAATTACCAAAGAAAAGAGATATATTGTATCTGGTCATGATTCTGTAACAAATATTTTTTTCAATACTGAATTAAAAATTTTATTATCAGCTGATTTTGAAACACATGTTCAGAGAAGAATAAATCAATTAAAGCTGATGATCATAATACTATTTGTTTAAATATAATTAAATGAGATATATTATTAATTGAATTTATTAAAGTAATCATTAAAATTAAAACAATTTTTGCTATTGATACAACATATCTTTCTATAGAAGAAGTTGTTGATAGAATTTTATTAAAAACTTCAAATACGATTAGTGAAATTTATTTATTAAAAAATATTTTATTAATTTTTATTATGTTATTTTTTTTTTACAATTTTCTATTCAGTCTATTTATAACTGAATAAAATTTTATTTACATAATTTTAAGATGGCTAATTCAAAATTAGAAAAAAAATTATTGGTGAATAAATTATTTAATGGAAGAATAAAAACTTTGTTAACTGTTTTTTTTTATTTTTTTAGATAAAGATAAATCAGTCTAATATTTTTGATTACGAACATTTTCGAATTGACATTAATTCTAAAAAAATTTTTCTTTCTTACCCTTTTACTAAATATCTTTATGATACTTATATTGGTGATTCTAAACAAATTAAAAACTTTCTTAAATATGTTACTCAAGAATTTTTTTTTGATATTAAAAAAGATAAAAATTCTGAATACAAGCCTTTTAATTTTGTTTTTGTAGATTATACTTGGTTCATTTATGATAATGAAGATTTTAAAAATCATTTATTTGAGGAAGTTGTAAACAAGTATTA